TGCATCCAGAATTATTTAAAAAAAAAGAATGAGCAGAAGCAGGTCAGGAGTGTGGGAGGCCGTGTCTGACCTTGAAGGAATCAGTTTTGTATTGTGGATATTGTTAATAGGGACAGTCCCCTTTGTGGAGCTGCAGAAATCAGACAGCTGTTTTTACATGTGGCCAATCAGGAGGGCGCTCTGGAGGCCTAGCCCGTGGGGAAAAGTGCTGCTAACTGAAAGGGGGCTCCTCTCTGGAGGCTCAAACCCACCACTTCTAGAGACAAGATGGGCCATCTCCTGTGTGATTTACAGCCTTGGGAACTAATCAGAAGGTCTGCTATGAGCCAATTTTCTCCCAACGAGTTCGTGTTTGAGCCAGTCATGGTCTTGCGATGCCCACAACACTGCTAAGAAGGACTATGCAAGTAAGTTGCTTGTGACCCACTGAGCACATTAGATAGCTTTTCAACTATATAGAGAAGGTGTACTGAACTCTCTCAGGGGGTGCTGTTGTTAGACACCATTGAGTCAAGTACAATTCATAGCGACACTATGAACACAGACCTGAATCCCATCCTGTCCTGCGCCATCCTCACAATCTCCGACACACTCGAGCCCGTTGCTGCAGCCACTGTGTCCGTCCACCCGGCTGAGGACCTTCCTCTCCTTCACAGTCCCTCCCCAGTGAACAGCCTCTCCCGGCAACGTGCCCGAAGTATGTAAGACTACGCTTCAACATCGTTCACAAGTAGGATCACGTCAGTTAGGTGCACGGAACCTTCGTGAGAAGACTGGTCGGTCTTGCCAACCAGCTGGGCTTGAGGGAGTGAATCTCAGAGCAGAGAGGACCCTTCACTAACATCCTAAGATCCAGGAATGGGGAGCATCCTTGGACATAAGATCCTTGCACTGAGAACCTTCTAGATGCAGGAGACAGAGCTAGCACACTGAAGGTGGCAAGAGAGGGTCAGAGGCAGTGGCAGAACCAGAGGACTGGTGGGAGATGGCCCAATGGGCTCACGAACCATGAAGCAAGGCGACTATGGTGGGTGTGCCAACCGCAGAGCACGAGAGCTGCAGGCCTTCCTGGAGGAGCCGACCTGGCTGACTAAGGAGCTTGGCGGCACTTGTCTGAACAGGACAGAGGCCACGCTGAGGCTCTGGGCAGGGGCCAGAGGGCAGGGCAAGAACTATCAAGAACTCGCTAATAACATGTAATGTGTTCCTGACACTTGCAGGTTAATCCTGGTCTCAGTTGTACTGCCACTTTCCTAACTAACTCCAGGGTCTGAGCGAGGTCCGCGAGTCCTGGGAGATGCTGCAACAAGATCCCACAGACTGAGGGAGAGGACTGCGGGGCGGGGCAGGGGGTGGGAGAGATGATGGCGATGACGTGAGTGTGGAGAAGCTGGACAGGAGCACGTCCCTACCTCACCCCACAGGAACCAGTGCTCGATCGATATTTCTACAACTGACCATTCATTTAATCTCTGGGAGGGTTACTCCTAACCCTTATTTACTAAGGTAGGGAAGAAGTTCTGCCCCTCCACTGACCGGCGGTATGACCCCGACCCAGAAATGTACTGTCGGTGAACTCCCTTCCTTCTGCCACCAGTCGAGGCGAAGGCACCTCTGTAACTACGCTGCAGGAATTCAGTGATGCAGACGGTGTGAGGCACGCTGCACTCACCTGACAGGCTTCCAGTGAAACTGTGGGGATGGTGAAACCCTGCGTCCTCTCTCCCCACGTTCCCTGCTGGAGCCTGGCCTGGGCACCCTTCCTGACCTCATGGGCAGGGTGGTGCCCACACCAAGCCACCTGCTCAACGAGTTCCTTCCCAGAACTTTCTAGAAGCCTGTCCCTTGGGGAGCAGAAGGAGTGTGTGGAATGTGGGCCAGGCAGACAGTGCGTGGGTTCTGGCTGGAGACAGGCTGAGCGGGCTTCGGCGGCAGCCCCACGCTCTGGTCGGGGTCCTTCATGTGGTAACGAGACTGGCGTTAAGTTCCTGTGTCCGGATCAGGGAGATGTCAACAGATTCCAGAGCCTTCTGGAGGCCAGACTGTCTCAGTCAAGGTGTTGGTGGTTCCTCCAGTTGAGAGACAAGGCAGCGCTGGGATGAGAACCCTTTGCTTCCTAGTTCCTGAGCCAGGATTCTCAGGACCTCCCTGCTTTCTGGGCTCAAAAAGTCAAGAACATATTCTTAAGCAGGATGGAGGTGGTTTCAGAGTTCAGACACGGCTCCTTGGGAGTGGGGCACCCGTCTAGCACATGGTCCCTGTTAAGACCCCACTTCTTGGTCCATTTCTGCTTCCTGAGTACTCCATCCTGCACCCTTCTCGGATAACCACCACGCTGCTGTGTTCATCGCCCCACTAGGAAGCTGGGGGATGCCTGCGCTCCAATCTGGCCTCTTCCCAGAGTGCTCATGGGAAAAGTGATTCGCCTCTTGGAAATTCAGTGTCTTCTTCCGTCTGTGGGCCTCGCCATACTGACCTCTCAGAGTATGGGAGAATCAAATGAGATAATGGCTGTTTAAATCCTTCAGTAGCTCCTCCAATGTTCCCAGAGTCAAGTTCAAAGTCAAGATGTGAACCGGTTGGCACCTGCCCTGTTTTCTTGGCCCCTCTCCCCTCCCCTCCCAGCAAGCCCTTGCCCCAAGCACACTGAGTCCTCACACTTCCCAGACCTGTGCCTTTGCACTCCGTTGCCTCCACCTTCGCCGGCACTTCGGGTTTATTTCAAGAGAGTATCTGTTTTATGGAGAGGAAGCACGTGTACGTGGCGGTGGAGGCGCGTGTTCAGGGTGAGGGCACAGGTGCTGCGTTCAGGGTGAGGGCACAGGTGCTGCGTTCAGGGTGAGGGCACAGGTGCTGGTTTTACAAAGCAAGCTGGTCTGGGGTCCACTGCAGGTTGGGTTCCAAACATCATGATACAGCAAGTAGCCATAGAAACGGAGTCACACCAGCTTTTCAGCTCCCCACAGCATGGAAGAATTAGGCTTCTATTATCCTATAGTCTAATAAAGGAGCCCCAGTGCATTACATGTTGGACTGTTAACCTAACGCTGGCGGTTCAAATCCAGCAGGTGCTCTGAAGGAGAAAGATCCACAATCTCCTCCCACAAAGCTGGAAAGTCAGCAGAGTCAGCGGGAGGTGGAGTCGACTGAGCACAGCAGGGGTGTGTGTGTGTGTGTGTGTGTGTATTAAGCATGATGAAAATGTTGACTGAGCACAGCAGGGGTGTGTGTGTGTGTGT